TCGGCTGGAGGGTGGGAGTTCCGCCTCCGAAGATTAAGTTAGAATCTTTCTTAGAAGAGGTATAAAGAGCAATAAATGCTTCTCGGTTAGAGAGCGATTTGCAATGGATTTTGTGTTGGTTGGTTGTTGGAATATGTTTTCGATCCCCATAAATGAGGTCTGCCTTTACTATTTATAGTAGGAGAGAGCTGTACCTCAATTAGGGTACAATGACACGTGTCGCACAGGGATTGGGCCTTTGCTGACCGTTGCAAACTTGACACGTGGTAGGCCTTTATGGGCCACGTGTCTTAGGGGTATTTTTGCCCTAAACATGTAAATTTTTATTTTATTTTATTTTATTTTATTTTTTTAAAAAAATGTATGAATTTTGTACTGCTTCATTACTTCATATATTCTTAATTCTCCTATTTTTCTAAAATCACATGTCAACTAAAATACAAGTTTATTATTTTACATCATTACTTGCTGATTATTGCATGTTCTAGAAATTATAAATTAAGGTACTAGCATTAGTGTGTTGCGCAACTCTAAACTAGTTGTAAGTGTTATTGTACCATGTATATCAACTTGAGAAGAGCTAGAAATAACTCAATATGCACCAATATAAAAATTATTTGCTTTTTTTTTTTTTTTTTTTTTTTTTTTTTTAATCCTCGTCTCCTCGATGCCACATTTAGTGAAAATACTGGCTTAACTAGTTGAAATACAATTAATACGAGAGAGGAACAGAGACAAGAAAATTAAATGTCATATTTGTTGCCAAGTTTGTGTAATTTTTATTATCAATTTTGCCCTTTTTTTTTTCCTTATATATATATATATATATATATATATATATATATATATATATATATATATATATATATATATATATATATATATATATATACTAGAATGTACCCCGGGCGATGCCCCGGGTTCACTACTCAATATAAATCCTTATTTGTTGATGTAAATGTTCATTGGCGGGAAGGTAATTTATTTATACGGTTTGATTAACATCTCGTAAAAATTATTAGAATAAGTCTAACGGGTCAATTAAATTATTAAGTAGTAATATTTTTTTATCATTTGAGAAGTGTTTTAAAATAAGGTGCTTGTATATTTATTTTTCAAAAAAATTATAATAATGCTTGGTAATTTCATATTGTAGGTTGGGGAGGATTGTAGTAAATATAACCATTCGTTTGGTAGACGGTTATAAATCAGATATCAATTACAATAATCCAATACAGATTTTGAGTTTAAATCTAACTTCCAAGATTATTAAACCCAATACATAAATAACCAAAACTTAATCAAAAAAAATTTAGGGGACTAAAAAATTAAATGTTAAAAAACAAAAATGGAGAGAGAGGAAAAGAAAGTACAATCACTGACTTCACGTTGAAAATCAGCCATTCTTCAACACAAAAACCCAGAAATCAAACCTTATTTCCTCTCTTTCTCTCTCTCTAAAACCAAAACATCAAGTAATATACAACCAACCGATAAAACAATTGAAAAATTAAAACTACCAAAACCCCAAAACAATATCAATAAAGTTGGAATGGATTTTTGGAGTTTAATTACAAAAATAAACAAAGATGCTATTTATTGTGAGTTATGCATATACAAAGTTTTGGAGGTAAAATACCCCTAACAAGCGGACCATTGTCAACGCGACATGTGTCCCGCTAGCTTGCTGACATGTGTCACCAAACCCTAGAAAGGGATTGATCATCTTCTCTATAAATAGAGGAGCCATCCTCATTTATAGGAAAACAAGATATAAAAAACACAATACACAATATAGAGAACATACATTGAATACACATTCAATACTCTAAAAAACTAAGCAATCCTCACTGTAGAACCCTCCTGACTCAGGAAGGGTTAATACTTCCCGCACTATACTCCTCAAACACGTTCTAACTTGATCATTGGAGGCGGAACTCCCTCGGGAGTCTCCGTTGTTTTGCAGGTATAAACAGCCGGAGGTCAGTCTCGGTGTTGTAACTCTCCCGCAGGGCACATCTAAAAAACCCCGAAACATCTGGCGCCGTCTGTGGGGAGAGTACCACTGAGATGGCTTCATAGCAGTCTGTACTGCCTCTTGGCAGGAGGCGGCCTATGGTTGAGTTCAAGAATCGAGTGCCTCCCCTGTCCTAAATGTCGGAGCCGGCTTAAACGCCGCCCTACCCAGACAGCTTCTAGAAAACCTTAAATGAGGCATTCACAATCAAATTGAGGGGGTTAGTTAGGCGGCTTGGCCATCCCTTCTGGCCCTTAGAATTCACTCGGTAAAATGTGCTTTTGCAAGCCATACATGCCGTGTGGACAACCATGCATGCAGCCGGAACCTTTTTAGTGGTCAGGCGGCATCATGCCCCTAGGCAGCTTCTCAATCAACCGGCATGTTGACACAACAGGCTATATACAGGTGGCCTCGATGAGCGGCCGTGCGTGTGAGCAGGGGCTGCTAAATTCACAGTCGTCCTCAAGCTCCGTTGTAAGCATATAATACAGGCGGTCAAGAACCTCAGGCGTCGTGAGGCCGACTGTCTAGTACAGGAGGCATCATACAAAACCCTCCTGACTCAGGAGGCGTCATACAGCTGAGTGTCAAGTGTTATAAGCGTCATATGACCAATTGTCTAGGGTCAGCCGGCAAGCTTGTTAGCTATACTTGCAATCATTATCATCATTATTATGATAAATCATTATTGTTCCGGGGTTTTCTGTGTCCCTTGGGAGAGTTACAACTTCGAGGCTGGAACCACACGCCTGTACATACAAAGATAACGGAGACTCCTTGGGTAGGGAGCTCCGCCTCCAACGATCAAGTTAGTAGATGAAGGAGTTGTAAAGTAGAATGTAAATGGGTGCTGGATGCTAGGACGGGTCTAGCAGGCGGTACCGAGTAGTGTGTGATTGTCTTGGAATTTGTGTAAATTCGAGTGTTTCTTGTGAACAGTCTCTCTTGTCATAAATGAGCATTTATGACCGTATTTATAGCCTTGGGAAGTGTTCCAGGCTCTAGGGTTTTGACCAATCCTAGGACTGAATGGGCTTCCTTGGGAATTGGGCCCAATCTCTTACCTGTTTAGGCAAGGTTGAGAGGGCTACATGGCATACCATAGGAGGTCCATGGTGGACCAATGGAAGCGCGCCATGTGGCAGGTCCTAATAAGTCCAACTGGGTGACACTTGTCAGGCCCTGATTGGTCCACATGGCGAGAGGTGGATTAAGGGAAAATCCCCCTAATCATTTGCCCCTCACAGGTGGCACGTGACATAGCACGTGTGACCTGTGGAAGGCGTCGTCCAATGGGGAGACTACAGGTGTCGACGGATAACTTGGCCGAGAATTTTCCCGCCCAAGTTTTTGAATTTAAATGCACTGCTGCTCATTCTTTCCTTATAAATAGGGTTGGTCAACAAGTCTCTTGTTCACATTTGTTCACTTTGCTTTCATAAAGAGATCTCTCGGACCCCTGACTTTTGTGATTTTACAGAGCAGTCGTACCTCGTCGCTTACTTTCTTCTCGGGCGCCTATTTCCAGTCTACTTCAACTTTCGACTTCAGGTAGACATCCATTCTTTGAATCTTTTTTTCTCTTTTTATTTTACAAAGTATGGTGTCTCAAAGACACTCGGCACGACCTAGGTTGTCGATTAGTCGGTCACCGAGGACGGCTGAATCCAGGACTAGGAGTGCCGACTCCACTTTTCTAGGACCACCCTTGTCCTTTGCACAACATCCGACTGTTTCCATGTCTGTGCAGGACATCATGGCAAGAATCAAGACTACTGGCCGAATAACAAACTCAGACGGCTCTTATACACATTATGACCTTCCTGATCACAGATCGGGTACCCCAAGTACACCTGGCGACTCAATCCTCCATGACTCTGGGGAGTTGTCTCCTGAAGGGTAGGCGGTCCCTGCCGAACCCTCTCAAACCTCAAACCAAACTGAGGAGTCGCCTTCTAAAACAGAGGCGGCACCGACCGAACCTTTGCAACCAAACGACTCGTCGGACTCTAGCGACGAGTCGGACGCCAGTAGCGAAAGCCAGAACTCTCTCGACTCTGAAGTGCTGTATTCTAGCATTCACACAGCTAGAGAGTCTTTAAGTGTGTCGATGGGGGAGAACTGGGCCGAGCCCATGGCATCATACCGAGACTTTTACGCCCCTTATTTTCACCATGTGCCTGAAGGGAGGCGGAAGGTCATGATAGAGAGATTTTGAGAGTTCATCTCCAAGCATGTAATGGGGGACGACTACTTAGTGTCGGTCCCCGATAGAGAAGATACAGTAGTTTGGCCGACTGGTTCTAGCTATGGGGATCAGTGCTTTGGCTGTTATGAGGCGGCTATTAAGGCCGACCTTCGATTTCCTCTTCACCCGGCCGTCGAGGCCATTTTAGACGGATACCAGATTGGGTTGTGGCAGCTGGCCCCCAATTCCTGGTTCAACATACTCGGCTATGTGGTCGGGTGCAAAATGCATGGAGTAGACACCAGTTTCGAGGCGTTTGCTCAAATGAATTACCTTAGTCGGACTCCAAAAGCAACAGGGTCCGGCTGGTTTCAGCTGACATACCATAGGGGATATGCCATGGCACAGGGTAAGGAGAACAAGTGGAAGGACTGGCGGACCACCTTCTACATTATCATCTGCCCTGACAAGGCCAAAAATGCCAAGTACAATAGATGGAATAGGGATCCATCCTTCTTAGCCGACAAAGACCTGCCGCCTTGTTCCTTCCAAGGCCAAGCGTGAGATTTTAGACGCTGGATTGTTTAAAGTTGACATTCAGGCGGACCCTGAATCTGGGAAGAAAGTTTTTGTCCCCCAACAATATGTTCCCAAATACAACTGGTTGTACGATGGGACGTACTTGGCCGCCTGTGGGCTAAGTACCGAAATGTCTGAAGGTAGCTATCCGCCTATTTCCCACACTGACTTAGTCACTTGTCTATTTTTCTGATTCTTGATTTCTTGATGCAGCTGAAGCAATGAAGAAGGTATCTGCTTTGAAAAAGGCGGCAGCACAGTACCGCTCGGCGGTTTTGGGCAAACGCCCAACTGAGGAGTCGCCAGCCAATAAGTCGGCTGGGGTAAGGCTTCATGATTCAATCTAATCTCTTTACCTCTTGCTTTTCAGTGAGCCCTACTAACCGACTGTGATGTTTGTTTGTAGGACCGGTCGACCCCTCAGCCGCCTCCCGAGAAGGCCCGAAAGCAAGCGGGAGGGGACACAAGCACCCCTCTCCGTCCTCGTAAACATGTGGCGACCAAACATGGATCGTCCCCTGCTGCCAACTTCCCTTTAGAGAAGGGTCGGCAACAGAAAAAGGACAAACGTCCTACCGAGAAAAACAAGGAGAAGGCGCCTGATGGTAACTTTGTTTACACACTTCTTTGAGAACTTCTTTGAGTTTGCTAGCCGGATATTAACCATCTGCCACTTTTTGCAGGTGATCATCCTTCTCGGCCAGACCTCACTGCCATAGCAAAGACTATGCTGCAGGCGGTCCCTTATCAAGAGAAGGAAATGGTTAGAGGGTTCGGCACCCTTAACCTAGACGACATCGTTGCCTTGTTGGCCGAGGTATTCTCTAAGCCTTCACAAATTGCTTTACTTTTGAGAGACGAACCTTTAGCTGACCGACTGTTCTTTTGTTTTTGATTAGTTGATGCTGCGAGTGCACGGTCTCCGTCGGCCCATCCAAGAAAAGAACAAAGAGGTAAAGTATTCCAAAGAGCTCGCCGCCTCCACCATGAATAAGGCCATGTAATCTATTTTTCAAATGAAGTCTTGACGAATGACATATTGCTTGCCCAGGCGGCTGCGAATCAGCAAGTCAAGGATGACCTGGAGGCGGCCAAAGAGAAAATAAAGGAGCTCAAGCTCAAAGTCTCTGAGAACCAGGGGAAGGCCGACACCCATGACGAGGCTGTGAAGGTGGCGGAGGACCTGAAAGCCAGCAACGCCCGCCTGAAGCAGCGCCTGGCCAACCAGGAAAAATAACTGGCCCAAAAATATAAGTCGAGGTTCGAAGAGGAGAAAAAGTCCCTGGTTGCCGACATGATGGAGGATTGCGGCACCATTATGAAAATGACCTGGGACCGCCTTTATTCAAACGCCGACTATTCAACATGGGGGGACCAGTTTGCCGCCTGCACTCAAGAGCATGACGAGGCGGTCATGGGAGGAGGCGATAGCCAGGGGGAAGCCGAGTCTTCTTCTTCTTCTGAAGAGGTGGTGGCGATTGTTGGGGCTGAAGGGGAGTCTTCAAAAAAGGCGCCTGAACAGGAGACTGTTCAGAGCAATCAAGTGTCCCCTCCCCAGCAAGAGAAGGCAGTTGCTGAAGGCGAGGTTCCTCCAACTGTTTAAGCTTTTTTATGTTCAAACTTGATCCGGCCTGCGTGCCGTGTACTTATGTATCTTTACCCGGCCAGGGGCAGGGGCTTCTGAATATTTTCCAGCTAGTCTGGTTTTAACTTTAACTTTTCCAGCTTGTCTGGCTTTAATTTGAGATGAATTGGCGACTGTAGAGTCGTCTTTGCTGCTACATAAGGCCGTTTTTGATTTTTTGTTTTTGTTGAATTTGCCAAACATTTTAAACTTCGCAACTTAGTAGCCGCTTGAATGGTGCATCCATGTTAAACTTTTTAGCTAGGATGTTGCACTTTGATGCCGACTGCCCTTGCCCCTGGACGACTAGATTACTTCTTGAAAAGAGAGTAATTAGTCGGCCATAGACAGTCGGATCCTGGTGACAAACATAACCAGCCTTGGCTGAAATGCACTTAGTCACAGTGGTAAGGTACCGACTGAATTAACCAGCTTATACAGCATTTCAAGACACAGGGGTTCGCCTAGTTCATAGAGAACAGTCGGCTAGTCACTGTTTTATCGATTGTCATAACTCCCTTAGTATGTTTACGAGAGACATAGTAGGTGTTATCGCATCTAGTCGGACACCGAGAGGTCCTTCTAAATTGCTCGAATTCATTTAGCATATCTTAGTCGGAATTTTTGTTTGAGTGCCTTTTTTGCCAAAGACCAGGCGGACTGCTCAAACTTATTATGATTCCAGACCAAGTATGGAAGAACAACTATGGTTTAACTATGGCGTTAACCAATTGTGGTTGCTCCTAATCATGAGTAGTAGGGGTATCAGTCGTTAATGGCCGACTAATCCCCTTGATTCGTCAATTTTGGTTGACTATTAACTCAGTGGGCGCCTCCTGTATCTATCCCAAGTAACACAGGCGACTATCCGACGCAGATGTCAACTGCCAACACTCATGAAAGTGTCGAGTTATCCTTGTCTCAAAACGGATGCGTTGTCCTTGTGGACAGCCGTATAGGGGCCGTGTAAGTAGTTTATAGAGCATTATTCCACCCAAATGGGAGCTGCTCTCTGCAACGAATCTCATCCAAATGACATGTCGTCAGACGCCTGCTAATTATTGGGACAGGTCGTATTAATTTAAAAATTAAGCGTAATCAAGCGGCTTGGTGCCTGGGTTGATTAGCCGTACGGTGGGCAAACTGGCGTGCCCTTTAGTATGTATGTGATGGAGGGTATCCGCCTGTCTTGAGACAGACGGAAGGTACTCCTTTTTTAAACATATAAAAAGAGGATAAACTTGGAACTTTCATTAATAAACTTTGATTGATTACATCAAAAGTAATATTTTTTCAGATTGTCTACATTCCAAGTCCTAGGTAGGGGTCGGCCATCTGGAGTTCCAGACGGTAGGTGCCGTCCCTGACCTCCTCATAGATTCGGTAGGGTCCTTCCCAGTTAGGAGTTAATATTCCCAACTCGTTGGCCCTGCCGACTGATTCCATCTTCCTTAGTACAAAGTCCCTACTTTGAGTGGGCGCTTGTGTACTCTTCTGTTGTAGATTCGAGTCATTCTCAGGCGGTATATTTCATGGCGTAGGGCAGCATTGCCCCTACGTTCTGGAAGGGAATCCAATGCTAGGCGCATTGCCTCCTAGTTTGCATCTTCATCATACAGCATGACTCGGAGAGTCTGCTCATAGTGCTCAATGGGTAGGACGGCTTCTGCCCCATATGTTAGGAGGAAAGGTGTTTCTCCAGTCGCTCCTTTTTCAGTCGTCCTTATCGCCTAGAGAACATGTGGTAGTTCGTCTGCCCATAGGCCGCCTGCTTTTTCAATTTTCTTCTTTATATCGTCTGAGATAATTTTGTTAAATGCTTTGACCTGGCCGTTTGCTTGTGGCCGTCCGACTGATGCAAAATAGTAAGCAATGCCTTGATCTCTCAACCAAGTTTTGAGAACAAGCGTCTCAAACTGGGGACCGTTGTCAAAAACCATGGACATAGGCACCCCGAACCGAGTGATCACATTCCTCCAAATGAAGGAGATGACATCCTTGGTCTTGATGCCCCTGACTACTTCGGCCTCCACCCATTTGGTGAAGTAGTCGACCGCTACCAGGATGTATCTCCTGCCGCCTAATGCAGGCGTATAGGGTCCCAGAATATCCATGCCCCATTTAGCAAATGGTATTGGGCTGTGGATAACCGTTAGATCTGTAGCTGGACGATGAATCAATTTACCAAACCTCTGGCACTTGTCGCATTTTTTAACCACATCCATGGCGTCCGCCCTCAGAGTCGGCCAGAACTACCCTTGTCGCCTCACTCTCTGAGCAAGCGACCTACCGCCTATGTGAGAGGCACAATATCCAGAGTGTAGGTCGTCCAGGACCTCTCGCCCTTTTTCTGGGGTAACGCATTTCAAGAAGGGTTTAAGGTACCCTCTCTTGTAGGGTTCTCGCTTTACCATTTCAAAACTGGACGCTCGCTTCTTTAGTAAGGCCGCCTGATGATGATCATTCGGCAAGGTGTCGTCTGTCAGGTATGTCCTGATTGGGTCCATCCATGTTGAGCTTCTATCAAGGACTGCAACGTTGTTTTCCTCAATACTCCGCTTTTCCATTACTTCCAAGAATACAGTTCTAGGAGTGTCGCATGCGGCCGAGGACGCCAGTTTGGACAAAGCGTCCGCCTGGTTATTCTCGGACCTTGGGACCTGGGTTAATTGGAAATCTTCAAGCGAGCTTACCGCCTGTTTGACGGCCTCTAAGTACTTGACCATAGCCGGATGAGTGGCTTCATAATCCCCATTGAACTGGCTGACTATGAGTTGTGAATCAGAACAGGCGGCTATTTTTCTTGCCCCGGCTACTTTGCACATGCGGATACCAGCCAAAAGGGCTTCATACTCAGCTTCATTGTTTGACGTCTGAAACTTGAAACGAAGAGCATATTCATACCTGTCGCCCTCTAGCGACTGACATACAATACCTGCCCCACAACCATTTGCTGTGGAACTCCCATCAACATAGACCTTCCAGAGTTGGTCATTTTTTCACATTCTGGTGGTTGGGTCATCTCAACTATAAAGTCTGCAAAGGCTTGCCCCTTCACAGCTTTTCTGGGCTCGAACGTGCCCTCAAGACTTTGGATCTCAATTGCCCATTCTATCATCCGCCCTGACGACTCCATGGTCATCAGGGGCCACTTGATTGGCTGGTCTGTGTAGACGACCACCGGATGTGCCAAGAAATAAGGCTTCAATTTTTTCACTGCCATGTACAAGGCGAGTCCAAACTTCTCCACCAGTGGGTACCTCAACTCTACATTCTTCAAAACATGACTGACAAAATAGACTGGAAGTTGGCAGCCGTCTCTTTCAGTTAAGAGGACGGCACTTAAAGCATGATCTGATACTGCGAGATACATGTAAAGCACTTCTTTTAGCAAAGGACTGACGAGTCTCGGCAGGGAATGCAGATGTTCTTTCAACTTTTGGAGGGCCGACTCTGCATCCGGCCCCCATTCAAACTTTGCATTCTTTCTGATTACCTGGAAAAAGTACAGGCACTTGTCGCCTGCTCGACTTAGAAACCTTCCGAGGGCTGCCAGGCAGCCTGTTAGCTTTTGTACCTCTCTGACGGTGCGAGGCGACTGTATGTCAATGACCGCCTGCACCTTGTCAGGGTTTGCCTATATTCCCCTTTGATTTATCAGGAATCCGAGAAACTTCCCAGACTCAACTCTAAAGACACAGTTTTTTGGATTAAGCATGACTCGGTGCCGCCTGAGTGTGGCGAATTTTTCTCGGAGGTCTGCCAAATGGTCCGTTTGAAGTTTTGACTTTACAATCATATCATCAATATACGCTTAACATTTCTTCCAATTTGTTCAAAGAACACAGTGTTGATCATTCTTTGGAAGGTTGCCAGAGCGTTCTTCAGACCAAACGGCATGATCGTGTAACAATAGAGCCCTTGTTCTGTGACAAAGGCAGTTTTCTCTTGATCTTTCTTCCATAGAGGGATCTGGTGAAAGCCTGAATAGGCGTCCATGAAACTCATCAAGGCATGGCCGGCTGTTGAGTCGACCAAGCAATCGATCTTTGGCAAAGGGTAGCTGTCTTTTGGACATGCCTTGTTTAAATCAGTGTAGTCCACACACATGCGCCAGGAACCATTCGGCTTCTTGACTAGAACAACATTTGCAACCCATTCTGGGTAGAAACACTGCCGAATGTATCCCGCATCAAGTAACTTTTTTACCTCGACGGCGGCCGCCTGGTTTCTTTCTTCACCATGATGCCTTTTCTTCTGTCGCACCGGTTTCTTTTTTGGGTCGACAACTAGCTTGTGGACTGCCAGGTCTGGACTAATTCCTGGCATCTCATGCACCTCAAATGCAAAAATATCTTGGAATTCTTTCAACAGTTGGCGGAGATCATTGCCAAGTTCAGTCAGAGCAGTCGCCCCTACCTTAATAGTTCGGTCTGGCCGACTGTCATCGAGGGCGACATCAACATGCTCCCCAGCTGGCCGAGGGCGGAATTCATCCGGCAACTCCTCAGCCAGTGATTGCTATTGCTTATGTTTTTTCTGGACCTCCGTCTCGGAGGCTTTTCTTTTCCTGCCTCCTGCTTCTTAGGCAGACACGTCTTCTATGGCTTTGC